TTGACAGTTGCAGAGGACGACGTAATTAGTGAGGAAGCAAGTTTGAGTCGCGACCCGTTCACTAGAGAAGAAGCGGTTTGTTGTTGTATCATGCCGGATATTGCTGCGAGTGGTGGCGACGGGGGCCAACCGTCTATATACAAAAGTCGCAAAATAAAGTACGGGTAGCGCAAGGCGTCAAATCAGTGTGGCCGCGGGCGGCGGAGGTGTGTGTCCGGAGCGCGGATGTTCTGAAACTTGCGACGACTCATCAGTCAGCAAAGAATGCGGACCGGGGGCTGCAGTCTATACGGAACGGGATAGATAGATGCAGTTAACGCCGGGTTAGCAATCCTGCCGAGTTCTAGGCAGGTGCAGTAACAAAAGAAGGACGGAGACGCCGTTGTGCAGGGCAGTGGTGACGCGGAGATGTGGCAGAGGGGTGGACAAAGATGACGGTGGACAGAAAGGTGGGAGGGTTCGATGAGCGACAAGCAAGCCAGGTGCCCCGGCCGGAATGTCAACGGCTCCGTAAAAAACCGACAAGCTTGTTGAGCAGTTGAGCGACAGGGGCGTAAGCAGGCAGGGGTCATTGTGTGAGGAACATGAGAAAGACTGGCACCAAGGGGACAACAACGTGCCCCAGAAGCGGGATGCGGATCGGTTCATGGACTTAGCACTCGGAGTTTGGCGGGTAGAAGAGTGGGGGCAGCTGTTGCATTGAGCCGTGTCGGCGGTAAGAGACAAAACAAGCCTCCGATTTCCCGGTGGATATGTGGCTAAGTTGCTGACTACTAAGTCGTATCTTGGAGAAATTCGTAGTTGGCCCAGTCAGATGATGCTTTCAAGGCTGAAGCCTGAAGCTGACGGTGCAATTTCCCTCCAGGACCTTACGCAATCATAGACACGCTAACTCGATGTAGGCAACAATCTGAATGGAGCTGTCAATTAAGACAGCATCGTGGCTGTGGAATCGTGGCCGGATCATGACCATACAACTGTACTCCGTACCCAGCATCTGTCCAGTATATGCTGTCAATATTTGCATAAGACCTGCATGAAGAAAGTAATTGAGTTGAGTTAAAGAAGAGACGAAACTTCCTTCTCTAGCTTGGTGAATATGTTTCAATTCTGAGGCTCAAAACAAAAGCATGGACGAGGAAACATCTTTTCTCTGTGCAGTGTCTCCCACACAATGGGGCATCAATCACAATGCACTCAGGGTCTTTGCGAATTGTGTGGGAAACAGGTGGAAATGCGCCTTTTGCTGACAAGCCAGAGCCGAGCAACCTTGTATTACTCCGTACTCTGTATTCCGCAGGGGCCCTTTATATCCCTGAGCAGCTCATCAGCCTTGGCTCTTCGAGCTTCATATTCAATCAAGCCCTGTCCATCGTGAAATCTTCAACCGATTTGCACGTGTCAAGCTCTCACTGAGATGCGCAGCTCCCCAACAAGCCTTATCGCAATCGCAATCGCTTATCGTAATGGTCCAGACACCCCGCGCTCGGGCCAGCCCGCCTCTTTTCCCTATGACGTCCCACTGTCCACACCTGCTGCCAGGCGGAGCGGAATTTCCACCCCCAACCCGCCAGCTGAAGCACACCCGGCTGGCCTGGATTGACATCTGACCACCGACAGATTCCAGTTCCGCCCTTGCTTCTCGAACACCAGCAGAACGCACACACGCAGAAAGCTCTCACCTCCAAAGGGCAGTGCAGCTAAAGCAGCTTTATTTTGCTTGTTGCTCACCCCTTTCTGCACACCTGCGCCCCGTCCACCTGCAGCTTCGCATCTCCATCCCCCGCCCCTCGACCACCGCGCATGTCTGCAGACCGCTGCTGACTGCGGCTGCCGAGGCCCCTCCAATTCTCAATCCTCCGTCCCAAAGCGACCTGACCGCCGCATCACCACTACCGAAAAGCTTGAAATCCCCTCTGAGCGACGACAGGTCTCCCTACCGCAACCATGGCCGACGAGCTTGACTCGCTGGTCAAGGGCGCCCCGCCGCCGGGCAAAGAGCCCAAGGCCGCCGTCGGCACCACCGGCGTCGTCCCCGACTCTGGCAAGCAAGGCGACCCGTTGATCCATACCCCGAGCTCTCCGTCCATGATTTACCTGAACCTCCTCATCCTCGAGGCCTCTCTACGCGCACAGTACCTCGAGCTTCGCGCCCGCCGCCGCCATCACACGTTCTTCTTCACCTTGCTGACCGCATGGATCAGCGGCTTTGGTTACGCTCTCTTCTTCGCCCCGCGTGAGGATGGACGTGGAGTTGGTGGCTCTGTGTACTGGGGCGTCGAAACATTCGAGAAGATTTGCTTCATGGGAGGTGTCATGACCGCGATACTGGTATGGGCTACAGGAATATGGGAGCGAGGCATCAGGTGGCCACGCCGTTGGTTCGCCATCTCCAACAGAGGCCTTCGAGGTTTCAATTCTAAGCTGGTTATTATCCGACGACCTTGGTGGGCCGAATTTCTCTCCACCATTGGCTTCTTCCTGACCTACGGACTCTTCTCCCACACCGCCAGCTCGTCCTACCGCTACGTCGAACCATCCATCCTGCGCGAAGTCGAAAAGGAGCTGAGCCTCACCACGGACAGCCACCCAACGCTACCGGTCCTGCTCGAAGACGAAGAAAAAGGAGGTCACGAGGAGGATCTCGCCCCGGGCGGAGATTACGTCAAGCTCCTCCTGCTCGCGAAGCCGTTCACGCCTACATTTAGAGAAAACTGGGAAATCTACCGCACAGAATACTGGGAGAAGGAGAACGAGCGCCGCGCCCTCATCCAGAAGAAGCTCGCAGCACGCGACCGCCAGGTGGCCAAGCAGCGGTGGGGCATGTTCTGGTGGCTGCCGTGGCACCGCATCGACAAGGCCGGCCCGCCGCCCGCGCGCCAGCAGTCGCCCGAGAAGACGACGATGCACCCCCGCGCCGCCGCCATCGAGCGCGAGCATAGACGCCGTGGCAGCACTACCAGCGCCCACCGCCGCAGCTCGACGAGCTCGAGCCGCAGCCTTGCGCCGTCCGTGGCCGCGACGAGCGACGACGGGGATGGTACTGTTAGTAGGAAGGCTAGCACCGGGTCCAATGCGTCGGAGAAGCGGAGGAAGAAGACGTTGACCAAGGCGAAGCGTCCCAATATTGAGTCGAGGTCTGTCACGCCTGATATTTCGTCGCCGTTGGCGAGAGAGGGAAGTATCAGTCGCGGGGATAGCGGTTCCGGTGCCGAGTCTGTGGCGGAGAGGTCGTTGAGGCACTCTTCGTCCAAGGCTAGTATCAGCTCGTCCATCAATTCGGTTCGGGAGAAGCAGCGGAAGGCTAGCGAGTCGTGATTGCATGGGAGAATAATGTACTTTACGAAGCGAAGAAGCGAACAGATGATCAATGAACATGGTATACATGCACTGCTCCAACGGTTTTCTACCCCATTTCCTATTTTTTGGTGGTGTTTGGTTGGTTGGTTGGTGGTGGTGGTGGTGGTGGTGGCGGCAACCTGAGCCTACCTTATGAAGGCCACCTGGATTCATGGATGAATATGAGGCTTGACCATTTGATCCATCTTGTATGGCCTTATCAACCGCCATCAGTCTGAATCTCGTCGTCGAGGTCGTCCAAATAATTTCATGAGACGATGTGAGCACTGAACCCAGAGACTGGCTCCTTCCTTGATTCCTTCCTGGGCCACTCGCGCCTTCCTCACCTCCTCGCTCAAGGTCCTGCCTCATTTCTGTGGCTCTCTCCTTCCCAAAGTTACACCATTCGCATCAATTGTCAGGCAGATCGGAAGAACGCGCTTTCGTGACTGCTTCGCTCGGCTCCACTCCGCTCCTGGTCACTCCGACTTGATGCTTCTTTCTCTGAGCTGACCTCTCGATCTTCCATCCTTCCTTTTTTCCTCTCCCACCATCTCACTTCGTAGTCTGAAAGCCTAGCCTCTCAAGGCATTATTTTACCAAAAAATCAAACTTCAATTCACTAACTATGGAATGTTCCCTTTCGATACATCGGAGTCATTGACACGTCTTAGATCGTCACTCGAACCACGAGTGAGATCTCTTACCTACGAAATTACCTACCTAATGTGAGTAAAATCGGACGTTTTCTCGTCAATGACAAGGAATACTCATCATATGCCACAGTACCTACATTCCCTAAGACTTCTTCCCATGGGAGCTCAGCTGGATTCTAAGTTTCTTGCTCTTTCCCAAGCCTGCTGTCCAGATATCTACGTACCATTGGGTGACTCAGAGTAAATGAGTACGTCCCTGACAACACCATCCATCTGGTAAGGAACCAATCGAGTCAATCGCCTTCTTCTTTCCCATTCTGACTAGAAGCAGTTGCCAGATGGCAAGCAGATGACCTTCTCCCCGCTCGCCACCTCATCCTGCGTCTTCCGGTTCGCTTTGCAAAAATTGATGATTGAGAAGTCTCAGTGTAAGCACGGCTTCTCAAGAACTTCCCATAGGATAATTGAGGAGCCTTGTTGTCAACTGAGATAATTCTCGTGCACTTGTCTGTTCCTCAATCTCTTGTGATGATCGCAATAGCTTAGTGTCTCTCGGGAAAGCCCCCTCCCTTCCCCCACCAAATTATGGCCAACGCCCGGTTCGATTTGGATGCAACGCGACCTCACTTCCGGTTATCCTTGCGTAGCTAACCGCCTCTTGTAGTGCTAGCATCTGTCCAATCAATCCTCATCCACTCAACAAGGGGACACGTGAAGCCCTCCTGAGGCTCTGACGAACCACGGAAAGTAGCATATTGAGGCTGACTGGTTCGCCATGGTGAGCATGTTGACGAGCCCCTTTAGTTGGTTAAAAGTTTCCTCCAGGCGCAGCAGTCAAGCCAATTAAGTCTCTTGAACTGTCCTTCCTTGGCTGTGTTGCGTGATCGTGCATGCATAGCGAATGGCAGGTGCTGCAGTAGTCTAGGCCTCTAAGTGCTACATAACAGCTGATTCCCTTCACCCCCGTTGGTTCAAAGACACGTTCTCAAAACACCCCATGGCAAAATGGAGGCAGTCTCAGCGGCGGCCAGCATCGCTGGGCTTCTCTCCGTCGCCGGGCATGTCGTGAATGGTCTCATCAAACTCAATGGATTCGTCCAGGCTGCAAAGGAAATGGACATTCGAACCGAGTCCTCGAATGCCAAAGTTGGGCTTCTTTCTGAAACCTTAGAAGACATAAAGGCTTTGCTCCAGGTCTATGAAAAAAACCTTGCCTCGATTATCGAGACATCTTGGGAGCCGAACATTTCTACACTCCGATCACATCTCGTTCGCTGCGGAAAGGACCTCGACGAATGGTCCAAGTCGTACAAGAGCGTCGGGAAGTCAACATCGAAGCGACGGAAGTTCCTAGACATCATTCAAAACAAGCGCCTTCGGGGCATCTCGGATATGGAAATTAAATTGACGGCTCACCGCTCCCAATTGATTTTTGACCTCAGTGTTTTGAATGCGTGAGTTTCTTAGCCAACCAGACTTCATCAGCTAATCGCCTGGGTCACAGCGCCTCTTCTATGGCAGGGCTGGCGAAGATTGACGCTGTTCAAGAAGGTTTACATCAGCTCACGGAGCTCAACTTACAACCAAACGCCACGAATGACGAGCCATTGGCATCCGCGGCAGAGGAATCAGCCGTTCAGAACCGAAAATTGAGGGACCATATCTCAACCGCTGCGAGTGATCGACTAAGGCAGCTTGAGAACCAAATCGAAGCGCATCGTTTAGAGACTCGACAGTCGCTCACGGCCATAAGCGACAGTATATATGGCCTGGCAAGCTCAATCAGCAGCTCTATTGAGCAGCTCAGTCAACCGCATTCTCAGACGGGTTCAATGAGAAGATTGAGTTACTCTTCTCAAACGGATGGCAGTTACGACGGTGATCTTCAAGACTTCTTGGGTACTTCAAAAACATCCAGACCAATAAGGACATTTTGGTCCTGCGGCTCGGCAATTGGAATGGACGACTACTTTGTTGCCGGCCATAACGAGGATTTGGTCCACTGCATATTTTGTCTACAACGCTTCGACATCAACGAATCGCAACAGCAAGCAATGCATGTCGTAAACGTTCACGCACCAGCTGCCTGTAATCAGGGAAAGCTCTATATCTCCTTATCAGATTTCAAGTTTCATTTATGCGAATGTCATTCTGCCCAACGTCCATCGCTGGATCACAACGATAAGTCTATAAAGCTCTTTCGTGTTGACACCAGCAAGTCACGAGATAAACGCTTTGCAGATCTTGAGGGCTTACCTCAAACTTTGGACTCGCAGCCGACCTCAATGTATGTTGAGAAACAGATAGTTCGACTGCTTTCGGAAACCGAGTACGTTGAAAAACGCCTGGGATCGTGCATACATGCATTCAGAGACATGAATCAAGTTATTGAGAGGATTGCTCATCGTGTTTTCTGGGTGCAAGACCCGCCACAGCAGCTAATCCAGGTGCTTTATAAGGCAGCGGTACTAGGAGAGAAGTTGAACGTTAACTTCAATCGGCCATTCCCCCGAAGCTGGGCTCCTATACCAGAAGACATGATCAGAGGGGGTACTAGGTGGACCGGAGAGAGCTTGTGTTCCACCCCACATCATAACCTACGATGGTTCGTCAAAGACACCGCGATTCGCCAAGCAGGATGGCGTAAGCTTGACAGTGAAGAGCAACAATCCTCGTGCATCGAATGTCGGGGCGCTGCAACTTATCGTACCTTTGAAGAGGCAGCGTCACATCTGCAACGGCAGCACTTCAAAATTCCAGGACTTCCGCCTACCAAGGCTGACTTGCGAGCATTTTGTCACCAGTATCAGCCAAACAAATTCAACGGATGGCTCGAATCTCAATGGAGAGACGATCTGGTGCCCCTAGTCGCTAGTTTGAACCACAGGGCGCCAAGCCTACAAAAGATATACCAGTGGAAGTTGGGAATACTCGCCCGGTCGGACCATTTTGTCACCATGCTGTGGCACGAAGCTGTTGTTGGCAATCGCAAAAGAATGCTTCTTTCCTCGATCGATGGGGCAGGCAAGTTCCTGACGATCCTCAAGGATGCCTTTCCATGGGACGGCTTAGTACATTCTATACCAGACAATTCGAGCAAGATGGACATTGACGAAGAAGATGAAAACTCATCTTGGACAAGAAGCGACGGTGCGGTGGATTTCAACTTGTCAGAAACGGTATCGAGAGAAGAGGAACGGTCCTATGAACCGCCTCTTGCAAGATTCGTCAATTAGAATGCGACTGACACTGCACAGCCTAGCTCAAGGCTCCTCGGTAAAATTGACAGCCATCTGCTTCTCGTCCAACCACTCGTATATCCTCCCAGTCCAACCCCAGGTAATGACCTGCTCTGCCTCAGCATCCGTTGTGAAGTTCCCGCAGAACCCACCGACGTGGACTCCATGCAACCCCGGGAACTCCTGCCGAACAATCTTCCCAGCCAACTCCGTTGTCTCAAGGTCTTGAGCCATGTTACTGCGCCAATATTTGGCACCGTTTTGGCCCATGTATGCGTTTCCGCACATCGATCCCCCGTCATAGCCGAGTTCCAGTTGAGAGGACCGCTGGAGGTGAAGCTGCGTGAGGCTGGGAAGAAGAGAGAGGGATTTTATAAGATCCTGGTTACGCAATATGCCATTTGGTCAGCAGCACGTGGGAGAATCAACCTTCGAGGGATAAAGAATGGGGAAAAGATGAAGGGAGGCTTACCCGCAGCAAGTTTCCCCGGTTGATGTTTCAATGTTTGAAGTCCTGGGCTGGCGCACCTATATGGAGCCCTTCAATGTGAGGGGTATCTCGAAGTACGCCTATGAGTTTGTGAGTTAGTCAAAAACAGAATTGACATATACATTTCCCGCTTCAAGTACTCACAATCCGTCTTCGTGCCCGTCCACTCGACTTCTCCCGTATCAAGCTTCCTCAGGCCTTTGAGTCTCCCTGCGGCAGCGAACCAGGCCACATCCCTCTTATGCGCAGCTTCTCCCCAGACAAAATCATCGCGTTTCGCTTCGAGAGAGGTCAGTGAAGGACAAGCGCCGACTATCCACGGCGCATTCATGGTCGAGACAAGGTGCTTCACACCAGGCAACCGTGTCCCGTCCCCGATAAAGGCCCTGCCGGTGGCCGCATTCTCGTCGACGCCCCTTACCATCCATTCGATCTTGCTCAAATTCTTCGTCTTCCCCATGACGTCGAAAAACAGCGCCGGTAAGGACTTTGGGGGAAGCGTCGATTCCGCGGTTAGGGTGTCCCACGTATCACCCATGGTCTGCCACCCCATTCCGGTATGGACATATACATCCGCCGTCAACTCACGGGCTTCAGCGAGTGCTCTCGGGCACGCCTTGATCTCATTGAGTCTGTCGCGAGCATTCTTCCAGCCGTAGCGGCTCACGCCGACGCGGATGTTTCTGATTTCGAGCCGGTGAAACAGATCCGCCGGCATCTCAAGGCACTCGCGCAACTTCGCGGTCTTGTCGTTTACCACAACGCCGTCGCCATCTTTAGATTGAGCATCGCCGGTAGGGAGTGTGCAGGTAAACGATGCCGCGTCCGGGAGTCTGCAGAGCTCGCGGGCGTGGTTGGTGAGCCACGGATGACCCGTGTCGAGCAGGAACTGATGGACGCGCGGGGTCGCATTGCTGCCTAGCCACGAGGAGATGATGAGTGGGACCTGGAAAAACGTGAGCTCCCAGGCTGACGCGAGGCTTTGGGAAAGGAACATGAGGACGAAGGGGAGGGAAGCTGTGGACAGTACTTTTGTGATATTTTGTTCCGGAGTCGTCTGGAGTTTGTGGTACTGATTCGATCGTTGAGGGCCCGGGTGCTCGAGTCTTGGGCAGCGGTCACTTGTACGTCTCGATACGTGTATATGTAGATAACATATGTTCTGCCTAAACACGAAGTCTAACTTTGGAGTACGGAAGCACGTTGTTTGAAAAGATCTGGATGACGTCGAAGGCGAGAGCAGATGCATGGGAGTTAGGCAACGAGTACTGTTAGTCACATCGTGGGGCACTACATTAGCCATGCCAAGCGAGATATGGACACGATCAACAGTTCCCAAATTGAAACACATGGCCGTTCCACCCGCGATTCACAAATAAGAGGACTTGAAAGAAGCAGCTCCGAAACGCGTGGAATAGAAAAGCACAAATTATTGCATTGGATAACTCAAGCACAATCCGGGTATTGAGGAGGCCGCCTTGCCTTATTCAGTGCCCCGGCTCATTACGTTCCCTCCCAAATCAGAATTCTAACATTTGCAAATACCACATCCATCATTTCCCAAGTCGCATCGAGACGCGCCAAGCTTCTCATCGTACCTAGGTGATGGCTCATAGCCTTCAAAGCCGCGTCGTTAAGGAGCGTAAGGGTATCATAACCACAAAAAACAAAACGTATCCCCCATTGAATATGCAAAATTGCCCAAAAAGTAATGCCCGCCAAATGATGCCAATTACTCATTAGTCTAAAAGAGTGTCGTGAATTCGTTGTAAAGAAGCCAAACCATAAATCTCTTTCTCATAAAACGCCATATATGATGTTGGTCCAAGACCTCAGGAAGGAATGTGCAGAATAGGATGATGAACTTTTGCCGCCAATTGTACAAACCCACGAAGAAAAATCTTATATAATGTTCAGAAGGATCGGATGCGAATTAGAGGAGTAGAAGAACCATGAGCGGCGCCAGTATGGCGAGGATGGTCGAGGTGGCGGGCTTGACTGCTGCGGCTGTGACGGGGCCTGTCGAAGTGGTGCTTGGAGAAGACACAGTCGAGGATGGCGCTGAGGTTTCGGATGTAGAGCCTCCAGACCCGCCAGTTGCTGTAGATGCTGATCCGGCTGAGGTGGTTGGACCGTCAGACGCGGATTCTGAGGGGATTGAAGCCGACGGACTCGAGCCAGGACCGTTTGTCGCTGTTCCGGACGGTGCTGATGATACCGAAGATAAAGTTGCCGTGGAGAGTGATGACGCGCTTGCTGGAGAACTCGACTGACTTGGAGCGCTTGACCCGCTAGCGGAACTCGAAGCAATTGAAGTACCTGAGGCACTCGAAGCGCTTGGAGAACCCGAGGAGACGCTTCCGGTCGGAGTAGGAGTTCCAGCAGAAGTCGAGCTTGTCGAAACGGCGGCAGACGTCGCTGTTGAAAAGCTGGAAGTCACGGCAGTGGATCCGGAGCTAATCGTGACCGTGGAGGTCGTGTCAGATGGCGTGGGAGAGACCGAAGGGCTAGAGCTGGATGACGATTGAGAGCTTTCTGCTGTGCTGGCAGTCGAGGATGTAGAAGACGCTGCCACGCTCGTGCTAGGAGACGGCGTGGGAGTGGGAGTAGGTGTAATCGTGGTAGACACCTCAGCAGTGGTGGTTGTGGTTGACCCCGGAATAGGGACGGCCGAAGTATCACTGGAACCGGCCCCCTGGCTTGCTGTCGTGAGTGTAGCCGTGCCGCTTGCTTGACTCTGGGGTGGCAGGATAGTTGCGGAAGACGAAGTCTGCGGTGCCTCGCCGGTGCAGTATACTAGCCACTGCTGGAATTGTGGTTCGATGTAAAGACGCAGAGTCTCCTTCCCGTCATCGGCGTTGTCTATCACGCATTGCCTGCAAGTCTCGAGGTTCATCTGGAAGGCGGAGCCCGCTAAGCAAATCTGAGGGTTTTTGCCCACGGTCTGAACCTCGATATAAACATTGTTGCAATTGTCGAAGCAGATGGCAGGAGCGATCGTAACATCTCGCTTGCCGAAGAAATCACGGCGCTCGTAGGTCTTGCCCTCCTGCTTATGCTTGTAGGCGTGTTTGCCAATCTCAGCAGAGGATGTAGGGGTAGGGGAAGACGTGATCGTGGGTTGGGCGGTCGGAGGATAGTGAGTTAGCTCCGTAGCTGAAGCCCAGTTTCCGGTCGTGATGGTCGTCTTCTTGTGTCCCTTCTTACCCTTCACCTTGGTCACAATGACTTCGTACTCAAAGATGTCAAAAGGAAGACCAAAGGCATTTGGATTCAGGTTGAAGTATCCCTCATTCACTGGATAGTAGCTTGTCTCATTCTCCTTCCAATTTGCTAGAGTGACAGGCGGTGCTGGAATACAGTTCTGCGGGGCACAGATATAATTGTCTGCTGGCGGGTCTGCCCATAGGTTGCAGCCGGCCGGCTTGGGAGGGTTGCAGACGTATCCGGGTTGACAGCCCCACGTCAGGTTGGACTTCGGGTTGTATTCGGCCGCAGAGTTTAATCCGGGAGTGTTCGTTGGGGCCGGGCAAGCCGTGATCTCTGTGACCGTTGAAGGTGGCAAGGTAACGGTGACCGGGGGCAACGTTAAGGTCGAAACGACGAAAGATGTTGGCCCTGGCACGATGCTGGTTATTGTCGAACCGTCGCGAGTGATGGTCAATGTCGACGCAGGCGCAGTCTCGACGACCGTAGTCACAATTGTTGAACCAGGCAAAGTCGTCACAGAGGGAGGCAGAGTGACTGTGTTTACTTGAGTGGTGACCAGTGTCAATGTGGTTCCGGGTAAGGTGATTGTCGTTAGCTCGCCTGCAATTGTCGAAACCACAGTCGATCCGGGAAGAGTGATGGTTGCAGGAGGAGGTGTGACGGTGATGACATCTGTGACTCCTGGCAGAGTGATTGTAGATGCTGGCAGGGTGAGAGTCGTGATTTCACCGGCAATCGTAGTGATAACCGTTTCGGGCGGCAGGGTAATCGTCTCAGCGGGACGCGTTACCGTCTCTCCGGGCCCCGTGATAGTGGCGGTCACAGGAATTGTGATGGTTGAAGCAGGCAAGGTGATTGTAACGGCCTCCCCAGAAATCGTTGTCGTAGTTGTGACTGGCGGAAGGGTGACGGTTGAAGCAGGCCGAGTGATCGTCTCACCAGGACGAGTAATCGTCTCCCCGGGTCCTGTAATAGTGGCGGTCACAGGAATGGTGATGGTTGAAGCAGGCAAGGTGATCGTGACGGCCTCCCCAGAAATCGTTGTCGTAGTCGTAACTGGCGGAAGAGTCACTGTTGAAGCAGGCTGAGTAACGGTCTGCGGAGGTGAGGTTTGCGTGACTGTTCGAGTGACTGGATAGGAAGAAACTATCGTTCTCACAGAAGTTTCCACGACAGTCGAGTAAAACGTCTCCCGAATCGTCCTGTCGTTGGTGACGGTTATGGGAATAGTCACTGGATAACTCGTCGACAGAGTGAGAGTTTCGAAGCGAGTCGTTGAGACGAAGACCGTTGTCAGAGAAGTCAAATATTCTGTCTGTTTGTTCGTGACAGTTGCGGTTCTCGTGGCCGTTGCCGTTGCTGTTTGGAATTCCGTGTAAGACGCAGTTATGGTCACTGGTGAAGTGTAAGTAACGAGACTTGTGAAAGTGGACACAGAGTAGGAAGTTTTGGTGATTGTGTGATCAGAGGTAATAGTGTATGGGATGCTTGTCGTATACACAAGAGTCGAGATGATTGTGGTCGTTGAAATCTGAGTAGCCGTCCGAGTCACAGGCTGAGTGATTGTTGCCGTTCGCTCCTTGGTCTCGAAGATCGTTGTTGGTGGCTGTTTCTGAGTCTCTGTAATAGTGTCCGTGATATAGTAGGTCTTCAATGTCGTGTAAGTCGTGGTCACGTATTGAGTTTTGCTTGAGATCACTGTCGTTGGAATGATCTCGGTCGATACAACGGTGGAGACCAAAGTCGAGACGGAAGTATGAATCCGAGTAGCAGTGACCTCTCGCGTCTGCGTGACCTGTTGCGTCTCGATGGATGGAGGGAGTTGGATTGTCTGCTTCTGCGTCTGTACGATTGTGGTGGGAACTGGGACGACTTCCGTGACCTTTGTCGTGCTCGTCTTCCAAATTGTGGTTGTGGTCGTCCGGCAAACTTGCTGAGGAGTTCGCTTCCTGCCATAGCCACCTCCATAAGTTGGGACGAGGGAGGTGGTTGGACCAGGGGCATCTACAGGATCGCAACTGAGGCGAGTTAGCTCATGTAATCCCAGGCTCTACCGCATTGTGCAATAGACGGGGGATGAAATCAATAGCGGGTTCGGAAATGCAGAATCGCAAGCCACGGACACACGATCCGTATGTCGTCTACATTCTATCTCGGCGCCCTCTCCCCGTCTCTCTTCAACAAGGCGCCTTTGTCGGATAGAGAAGGCGAACGTTGAAATCGTTGTAGAGGAGATAGAAGAGGATAAGGAGCCGGGTATGGCTTGGAGGGTTGAGAATGTTTGGGATGTACGCGGGAGCTTCCTATACTTACAGAGCCACCGTGGTAGTCACAGGGTAGGAGGAGACCTTCACAATTGTCTTGGTCTCGTAATCTGTCGTAGTGAAGGCTTGCGTGGTGTACACAGTCTCTTTGGAGACGATCGTGAGGCTAATTGAGGTCAGTCAGAATCTAGAGATATCCTTCCTAGGATTCCTTGGGAGAAGGCAGCTCACGTGGAAACAACCGGCTTCTCAACGGTCAAGGTCGAGATCTGCTTTTCCGTAACAGTCGAGACCTGCTTCTCAGTGACAGTCGAAACCTGCTTCTCGGTGACGGTCACAGTCTGTCCCCAGGGGCACTTCGAGGCCCAGTGGCTACAGTCATCGGTATCGGTGCCATAGTCTGGCGACTTCTTGTCGGCGCTGGTCGTTGTGGGAGCGGGCTGGGCTTCAACGGAAGAAGCTGGTTCTGCGACGGGCTCCTTGGTAGCTGAGGCCGAGGGCGTCGCTGCCGGTTCCGACGACTGTTGAGGTTCAGGCGATGGCGATGGCGAGGGTGAAGGCTTAAGTGAAGCCGAGGATGAGGCTTCTGGCAAAGGGGCAACCGAGTATGCGCCAGACGGCTCAGCATAGGAATCATTCTGTCTCGCAAATACTGCTCCACCGTCTTGTGCCGTGACACTGGCGGCTAAGGCACCCAAGGCCAGGAGTGATGTCCAACGCATTGCCGTGAGCTTCTGACGAACGAGAGACTATGGTATCCCAAGTGCCCAGTATCAATGCAGCATGCAAGCTGGTCGCGTTGCGACAATGGACTAACGAGTGTGGGAGAGCCGCAGGTCGAAGCTGAACACACATGAACGAGTGCCGGTTGGAGATTGGGGGCAGAACAGGCTCAAAGAAGCTGAGGATGGTACCTGGGGGCACATATGTATGTACAATGGAAAGACGGGAGGCTGAAGAGCTGAGTTGGCAAGGCAGCCTTACCTGAGCTCAGGATCAAGATGAGGAGGGCTCCCGTTAACAGCAGGATGAGGTTCCCCGCAAGCTCTAGCCAGAGAGAGCAGTCCGTACCTCGTAAGCTACGTAGCGTAGTGTCCGTTCCGCGGGACCTCCGTCCGAGATGGTGTTGACAAAGGTGGGCGATCTATAGGCTGGGCATCTCGCCAGCTCAACTCTCGAGGCAAGGAGGGAGGGTGTTGGTCAAGTAAACAGCACAATGAGGAGGCAGGGAAACAGGATGACGAAGGAACCCAGCGACATGGGGAGCTAAGCTCTAGACCCCGTCGCCTCTCGTGTGTCGATGTGCCACATACTGGAGGGGCGTGCCTCAGACGGCAGTCGGAGTGAATGGGGACGATATTATCTGCCAGGAGGCTTCGCTTGATGGCCATTGGCAAATGCAAGATCGGGACGAGGGCAATGGAGCACAGAAGGCGAGAGAGCCGATGGATGTGGACACTTGAGGAGGGGTGTGACGGCCCACCAGGACCCTGGTCCTGCCTGCAGAGATGACGGCAGGGATATTGACCGTGGTTGGCAAGCTGTTTCCTCGAAAGGCAGGCGGAGGCCATATGAACGGTCAAAGAGGTCGCTACAACAACGGCAAACAGTTCCGGCTCCAAGAAGACTGGCACCAAGCGGGTGCGAGATATGATGCTCGTAACTTGGCTGCTTGGGTACGCGTCCCGGGAGGAATTAGGCATGCAGCTCACAGAAAGACTTTCCTGTATGTGTGCCAAGTATAAGATACGCGACGCAAAATCATTGCGAGAATCTTGCGGCAGCATCACTAGATGCCACTAGCGGAAGATATGGCCTGACTGTGTAAACCCAATTCATGTAGGCATGGCGGGGAAAACAGGCGTGATTGCAGGTGAGAGAAGGGCCTGAGAAAAGACAGAAATGCCAAGACTCTGGCTCGAAGAGTGAGGTAGGGTAAAACAGATTGATCTCATAGTAAGTTGCGCACATTTTGTCGGACTTCGTCCCCATCTGCGCCTGAGCTACATGGGGTGAGTTCGGGCGGCCGTGAGGCGGCATCGGCCGGCCGTTTCTGTCGTCCATGGGTTGGGAGGGGGGCGGGTGGCATTGGCAAGGGCCAAGACCGATGCACATACAAGGGACTTTTGCTTAGATGGAGGTCCTGAGCGGTTGGCCTTTGGCCCTCTTGCGCAATATTTGACCGTCGAGCTGCACGCCAGGATCGTACCCTCGAAACTGTGTGCAAATATTGCCTCGTCGGATGGGCCCAGGTCTTGGGCATCACCAAGTGGTGGGATGAAAGGTAACGTAACGGGCAGATTTCCGTAAGTTTAAAGCCTAGCCTACTAAGTAAGCATGGCCGGGAAGCGGGAGGGTGGCAGACATGCGGGATGCGAAGCGCCTGCAACTGTCGAGGTCCGGCATGGGGGAAGAAGATTGAAGATCATCGACCCAGATATGCAGACGATATTGCTTTCGGATAACCAGCACGCCAGGTACGACGAAAATCCAGTTGGTCGAGTGACAGCCTGTGGCAAAAGATATAAACATGATCCGGAAAACCGATCAATGTGCGACTGATGAAAAGCTGGGAAGCAACTTCGGCCTGCCCCTTGCGGATGCTCGGTCGCCAGTGACAGAGCAACGATCTTGCCTTTTTGTTTCTGGGATGGTGATTGCCCGGTCGATTGCAGCGGGTGAGACCGAAAAGAAGCCCGGGTAGCACAGCAGGTGCCACTGGTGAACCTTGCAGCACGATTCAAGAGTGCCAATGGATGACGATCTTGTCTAGACTTTGTGTGTCTAGGTAGAGACGTCTGATGAGCCGTCCGATTATTGATTCGATGGCTGGTTTCACGGTACCACCTTGGAGGTGCGCCCGAATCAAGAACAAGTCATTAACATCAGATACTTCTCATCCTCGTAGAACTGTTTCCAACTCTACAGTCGTATTGCAGACGAGCAGAAAGTCGCAACTGAGAGCTAGTCAGCACGAGCAGCCTCTCGTGGTGAGATATCTCAGTGTCATTGAAGGATTGGAACTTGGTTCCGGCAGGGACCTAATCCTTGGCCGGTCTTTCATCACGGCACATCTGATTGCTACTCAAGAGGAAAAGTCTCTACTCGCCACCGCCCGCATTGTGCAATCCTTGTGTAGTCGTAAGTCATCTGAGTGGCTAGACCGAGAAATACTGAAGCCTGGTGACAAAGTGTGAGTGAGCATAAGAGGTCCGGAGGTGTCAGCACAGAAGGATGAGATGACCAGGAACAAGGGGGATGAGCGATTGAATGAGTGATTGAGTGAGTGACAATAGAGATGAGCTAAGGCGGAAGGAGATTAGCTCAGGAACAGGGGAAACGTGCTCCCGCCCTATGGGAGGAACTGCTCATGGGAGTCATCCCATTTAAGGTATAGCTTGATGACCTAATCCTGAAGAGGGAAAGAGGGGTAAAATGGACAACAGTGGGTCGCTTCCGTCCGTGCTTATCCACACCTCCAGCCTTCTCAGAATGGAAGCTGCGATTGGTCTGATTGTACATTACCTCATCAACGCTAAACCATTTTGACTTTGTTTTCACTCCACCTTCCTTCGACGCCGTTTGGCACTTTATTTCGTTTCCACCTTTCTTTCTTCACCTCCCCCTCCGTACACCAACAATGTTTCCATCCAACGGCCAAGTCGGCATCGTGTATGTCTCTAGGCTACAACTCCATTTCTGATAAGCTCCCTTGGTGAAAAGCATAGCCAGGAGCTTTCTCATACTCTACTGTCGTCGCTTTGATTTTGCGATGAGAAAACTCGTTCAATTTCGGGCCATCCGATGATGGGTCGTTGTTTGCCCTTAGAGGCTCAGACACCAACCATCCTTCTCACCGACAGTCGATATTACAAGGATCAGTCTTACTTGGTCAATCCCACAGGGCTGACACCGTCATCTTTTCTCTCTTTTCAATGAGCCGTCCCCTTCATCCGTGCCTGGTCTGGGAGGCTGGAGACTCGAACGAAGCAGCTCATCCGAACGCCCATGTCCCCGATCCTGGCCCGCTCCCGCATCCAACTGTGCTGGTCCCATCCAGACCTCGCAGGTTCAACTTGGCAATCCGTCTATTGACTGACTTGCAGATGCTCAACCCCTGCAATAACCACTGCCGCCACACCATTTCCTATGCAAGCTGATGCCGGGACCGCTGTACCCAACGTGGTGATCAGAGCCACAGACGGCACGTTACTGCGTCCAACTTGCATTTAGAATTTTTCTCCCGCTTACGCACCTACTCGTGGCTTACCTTCTCGAATCATGTCACCTCTGTCAATGTATTGTCCCGCTGGAACCGCAAGTTTATCCGGAATATCAACGAGTCACCTTGCCGCCTCGGCTTACTTACCACTACGAGTAAAGACACGGGCTTTTGCTGACAATAAGGTTCAGCAAGCTTTGCAACAACTTTGAGCAAACATCACAGGGGCAATTCGGCAGCCAGAATTCTCTCCTTTCGGCGTGTCTTTGTTGTGTCGTCCACTTTATAACACATTGTTTGGCTTGTGTTTGTTGTCCGAGTCTGGTCTTGGAAGGCTTGTGGTGCCGGACGGTGTATGCACCGTATGCCAAGAACACCGTATTGCTTGCCCACATGGTGGCCCCGTTGCTGCTGTGTTCCAAGTCGTAGCCTGATTGCAACACACCTTTAGTTTTTGTAATTGTGCAGTTCGCCTTCGCCCCGAATATTCATACGAGGTTTGGACTTCGGAGCAGCATCTTTGACAATCAGAGGTTGCGCCGGTAAGACAAGTGTCTTCTCCGATGACCTTGTTTTCCCCTGTGGTTCGTTGGCGTATATTCTGGGCTGAATGTAGCTAGAAATCACAACGACGCTCTAAGTGGGTGATGAGGCTGAGCACTCTTCTGTCAGATGCACAAGTCTCTACCGCGGACGAAGACATCCAATGCCCCTCTCTGTCCACCAATCATTTCGTCACATACCTCTCATCCTCTTATGAGTCGGTACGAGCTTCCCATCTGTGCAAGTGTTCTTCCAAAGGACCGCCGAGCCCGGTCTAGAGTGGTGTCCGATGAGTTGCATACACCCTCCATCTCAGGCATTGCTCCAGCCATGGTATTCCAGCGGCCCAGCCTTACATAGTTCTAGTGAGCACTTGGGCAAAATCCTGCAGTGGCAACCATCTTATCAGTTTTCCTGCCGACTTGTTGGTTCTGTCCGCCCTGTCCCATAGAGTTCCTTGTTGCCACCGTATCGGTTCGTCTTTTTGAGCACACGGAGTTAGCGACACTGCGGGGTTGATCGAAGTGTGTATGTGCTCTCTCAACATCCGCCTCAAACATTCGACACACTCTTCTCGAACAAAGAGGTCAACTTCGCTGTTCCAGTGGTATCCTCCCTCGACTATAGGCACGGCCAACACTGTCAGCCTCAACGCCCCTACCTCCGGATTGTGTGCCCTTCTCTTCGCCAGTCATTCCCGCCCCAAACCAGCCGGGCTTATGTTTCCCATACTCTGACACTTTCCCTCCACTGCATTCGAGAAAGGTTGCCACCGCTCCTGGTAACGCAGTGCGGTTCCCCCAAATAAGCACCACCTCCAGCCGCAATGCGCTGAGACAGCAGCGGGCGGCCTGAATTTCTTCCTAACGCGTTTCCGCATCAGCCAAATCACAGCGCTGTCGAGAGAATGGTCTGTGTGAATACCGCCTTGCTGGTGGCCGTCGCGGGCCTCGTGACTGCCCAATATGATGGGTGGGATCTTGAGAAAGGCCAAGTGAGCTCGTCCATGTGTTATTGGTACGCACCAAGAGGTTTGCAATATCGAATCGTCCCGAGTTAGCAGCATCTGACAAGACTGAAGCTGCCGTCATTCGAGATACGCTATGGCTAGATGGTGGAAGTCTGTATTGGACCCCAACATATGGGGACGGGTCGACTGGATATCCAACGACCCTAGGTGAGTTCGTTTTTGGCATCACTTGCGATCGACTTCTGACATCTTCAGATAACCCCCTGGGTCTCATGTACTCACTCAACTTCAGCAAGCCTTTCGATAAGACAACAAACATCACTAAGCTCATCGAAACTCACCCAAAGGCTCCTTCAGGTAGTGGTAATGCCAACAGCTTCGCCCCAAACACTATCGATGGTGCCCTGCTTCACAATGATGCCGAGTTCTTTTTGTACGGAGGTGTCTTTGCCAAACCAACGGACGCTTACGATCCTCCGCCCGGCGACAAGGCACTAGTATGGCGTCTCTACGAGTACGGCGCAGAAAAGGCCGCCTTCAACAATGGAAGTGATCAGAGAACCTTGGACAACGGCGTGACTCGATATGTTGCCCATGGGGGGGCTGCCAGTGCTCCCTCGGAGAATAAGGCCTGGTACGTTGGCGGCATGCGGTCGCCTCTATGGGGCGACATGTATCAGAGCACTACGAATCGTTCTCTGAACGCTGTCAACGCCTCCAATACCCTCATCACCCTCGACATGTCCACCCAAATGTTCGAGAAATTTTCCAACAAGACTTTACTGCCAAGTAGCATCAAGGCCAGGGCAAATCCTGAGGTCGTCTGGGTTCCAGTTGGCGCAGAGGGTATCCTTGTCGTGCTTGGCGGGGTGACCTATCCCGAATACGTCAATTCCAGTCATAAATCCGACGACGCTGTCAAGAGCGTGAGTCCTGCGGTTGCAGTTTCTACTCTATCCATCTAACATCCTTCATAGGCAAGTGAAAGTCCTGCTTTCATGGAAACCATTGACATTTACGACGTAGCCGGTGATAAATGGTATCAACAGAAGGTTGACGGGACAAAACCGCCTGCCCTTACTCGAGGCTGCGCTGTGCTTGCGCCCGCTCAGGATTACTCCAGTTTCAACATTTACTACTACGGCGGCTACGATGGAATCCACCCCAAAGAAGACTTTAGCGACGACGTCTGGGTTCTCTCGATTCCTTCATTCCAGTGGACAAAGGTCTACGAGGGGACAGCCCTGCACGCCCGTGCCGGTCATCAGTGCGTAATGCCTTACCCTGATCAGATGATGGTCGTCGGCGGCTATACGGCGATGGCTGGAAGCGGAGCTCCACCATGCCTTGAAGGAGGCATCATGCAGGTCTTCAATCTCTCAAGTGCAGAGTGGCTTGATGGATACAGCCCGACGAAATGGTCAAACTACACCATCCCCACCGCCGTACGAAGCAAGATTGGAGGCAATGAGAAGGGCTCGGCGACGAAGACGACCCCAGAGCCGTCCGGCTGGTCTGACCAAGGACTGGCATCCATCTTTGCGACGCCGTATGTTACCTCGAAGATTAATACATGGTACCCATACACAGAAGCCAAAGACCCTGGACGGCCAACTGTCACAGGTGGCGGAGACAACAACGGCGGCGGCGGCGGAGGAACCCCGAAATGGGTTGCCCCTGTCCTCGGCGTCGTTCTCGGCCTTGTCTTCATCACTGCCATCCTCGTCGGCTTCTGCCTGTGGCGTCGTCGCAGAATACTCAGAAGAGGCAATGGAACGGCGACACACACGGACGACAATGGATCTAGAATCATCTCCTGGATCAGAGGCCAGCCCAGCGAACCAGCCAAGGCGCCTACCGTCACTACCGAGGAAGCCTCTTCCCAAGATATGGCTGAGGTCCGGACGCCACCCCCTGCCCCGGCGGCATCGCCTGTACCCCAACAGGTGCATCACGAGATGGCCGACAATCAGATTGCAGAGCTACCAGGTAAGACGTTCTTGAAATCTCTACCTGAACAAGTACTAACTAAGAACAGACACTTCGCGGCCGCCAGAACTGCACGGTACAGGTCTCACGCCCATCGAGATCATCAACAAGCACACGCACTTTGGCACCGGTGGCACATCCAACCCTGCAACAACACATCAATCATCCTACTACGCCTCCGTATCCTCCAACGAGAACGCTTCATCGCTCTCCCGCTCCTCGGGCGTCCTCGGGTACCAGACCCGCGCCCAATCCCCCGACCCAGGTCCGCCATCGCCGCCCATCAGCAACGCTGCGCCCGCTACTTCTACCGGACGAGTCGGCTCCGACGTCTCCGGCCTCAGCGACCAGGATGCACGGCACCTGCGGCATATCAGCGAAGCGACCGTCAGCTCTGCCTCGTCGGGTGGCGAACAAGATGGCCCGGCTGCTCGGGAACAGCCACGTAGCATCCCGGAGACGGTGCCGGAGACGCCGACGCCCGGACATCCGAGTCCTCTGAGTCCACCGACTGGAGCATCGGATGGTGATGATTATATTAGTGCGAGGATGTTGCCGGTTAGTCCGGCTGGTACTGCGACTTTGAGGAGGAGTATGTTTCACGAGAGTGAGGATGATCTTGGGTCCAGGAAGTAAACTATCTCTACGGGCAAGGCTCTGTTTCCGGTTGGGCTATTTATCTTTTAACTTTGAATGACCATAATGATGCCGTCTAACTATGCCCGGCCAAAGAGACACGCTGCGGCCACTGGCTTCGCAATGAAGGTGTGAGCCGAAACCTGATCCACTGACGAGCTCTTTCCTCTTTAACCATGGCAACGGTTGGTCTCTATGTAGCTTGCCTTCGAATTCTGTAGCAATGCGGATGTGCCACGGCCCATCTTCTCCACTCTCAAGTCACATTCCAGAAAGAGTACTTTCCAGACAAGCTGTCGCGCGATCATGCAAGTAACCCAAGGTTCGTAGGTTCCCTCCAATGTAAGGTGGTCGTTCCAGGGCCGAGTGTCTTCTTCCCAGAGGCTCATTGCGGCATTTGTCTAAAACCATGAGCCCAAAAAGCCCGGAACCACATCGAGGTAAGTACAGAAGGTCAACACATCGCTCAAAAAACAACAAGAACTCCTCGACGGGGATTTCCCCGGTGACAAGCAGATATCCTCACCACTAGACTATCGGGGATGGGTGGATGTGATCATCCAGTGACAGTTGCTGGGTTGGTGACGATGGACACAACTTGCCCCATAGAGGTTTACTTAGGACCCATACTTAGACTCCACATGGAGCATCCTTCTAGTTACCATGGTTAACCTATTTTCAGTAGACTGTACTATGTCCAAAAGTCTTCTATGTACCATGGGCAATGAAAACCAATTGACGTGACATGGAGTCTTGGACGTTTGGGCTTTTGGAAGGGCATCGGACGTTCAGGGTGCGCCTATGCTTCTCTCCGATAATTAGCTAGGTCATTTGATAGAGCTAAACTTCTAAAGGTCTCACAGCAAGCGAGCTCATACCTCTGCCAAATGAGAGCAGAACAAAAAGAGTGCCCTCTAGAGAGTCTTGCCAGTTCCATTTATGTGGGGATGTTTGAATTTGTTGAGTTTCGACTCAAAGAGATCTCAAAGCTCAAGATTAGACCTCTTGGGAAGAATCTACTGTACATCTACCATTTTCGAATGATAAACCAACGTATAGAACGTATCCAAAGAAGAACTCCAGTAAGATCGAAGGTGAAATATAGCAGATTGGAGCAAACATGTCGAGCCACAGGGAGAGCGACCAGATGCCAGACGAGACCAGGTAGAAGGGGAACATCAAAATGACGAAGCAAGCAACGTAAATCCATCTCCTTAGTTCAGATCTCTTAAAGCTAGGCTCTAATTCGAAGCCTATTAGGTAGATGAGATGAACTAGGAGAGGCTGGTAAAATAAACACCATGCTCTGATATAACTACTATTATTGCCCCACACTCTCATAAGCTACTTAATGTTTATTCACCCGAGAACTCCCCAAACGACCCAAAAGAAGCAGCGATAGAAGAATTAGAAGCGATGCTAAGAGCATTAGTAGAGGTAATAGAAGAGGCAGTAGCAATGGCACTGGTAGAGTGGCGGTAGAGGCAGAATGGGAACTTGGGAAGCGTTGTGAAGTAGGATATCTTGCCGCCCGCTCTTCTACATCTCGGCCTTAGACACTTAGAGCAAGCATCCTGGTGCATGGCGATTTGTGGCGTGCCTTGCATGCTTACAGTCAGAATCAAGATCTTGTGGTTTACTGGTACAACTGGGTATCGTTCAATCTCAACTCTTTGTTTTTTGCCTTCGTTAAGTAGGTATATGGCAACAATCCCACTGGGCTCATCCGGGCTTAGTCCGCAGATTACGAGCTGAGTTCGATTCGAATGAAGATGTATTCAGAGCTCAGTTTCATCCTCTATAGAAAGCACTGGCGAATTTGCATCGAGAAAGCGCAGAGGTAGATTCCTAGTCTCTACGTCAACGCCATTCTGGTCTTTACCCTCCGACGAGACCTCATAATCACGGCTGTATACTGCCCCATCAGACTGTGTTGAATTGACATGATCGTCGAGAGCTGCCTGCTCTCTTTCGAAAGCCCCAAGCAAATCACGACTCCATATGTCACCCCACGATGGAGAACACCGGTCCACTTTTGTCGCGTCATCAGTTTTTGTCGAGCATATCGACGATTCACCGAAGAAGGCGCTATGTCTCAATACGACTAGGAGATGCTCCGACTTGTGAAGTGTGTTCAACATCCAAAGATGGACCCTGTCTCTACCCGACGTACTAGCTCCCAACTTCTTCAACAGGCGGAAAGGTTTCGATACAGGGTCAAGCATAGACCACTCAGTAGATATGTCTGGGCACGCTCGTTCAAATTCAACGATGCAGTGCTTTCCTCGGTGGCATCTGCCACGATGCTGAAATGCGCTCTTCAGATTAGAGTACCTCGTCCCGCTTTGGCACTCTGTGCAAGACTTGTATGAGTCGACTGAAGCCCTTTCTCTAGAGTCAAACGAAAGAAACCAGCTACCAAGGTGCACGGGGCGCTGTCTGCCATCTTTTTCCTCGGATGGAGAAATGTTTCGGAAAAAGAATCTTGGTTTCGGTAGCCATCTACTCCGGAATATCCTGTCAAAGCCGACAGACATTTCTTCCGCCAGGTTGGCTGCCTGGTACAGAGTTACAGCAAGCTCGAGGGAAGACCCTGGAGAATACGCAGCATTCGATAGCGTCTCCAGGTTTTGCCGCATGTCATGGAAAGTATTAAGTCCATGCGAGGTCGACCTTTGCAGCCCGACAAAGCCGGTTATCAAAGACCGCAGCTGGGTTTCGAGTATGAGGGGTGCTGTGGACGTCTCTAGTTGTTGTGGTTCACCATAAAGCGACTTTATCCTCTCGTCCTGAACCGTCGATGTTGACTGGAGGAATCTTTGCGGAAAATGCGCAATGTTGTTGGAGATTGCCTCTGGGTTGGCTGCATGGTGCTTCTCCAAGTGAGAACCGAAGCTTATGCCAAACCTATAGCATACTCCTTGATCGCACCCTGCGAAATTATGGGAATCGACGACGTGTTTCGATCGTTCGAATGACTCGGTATTTGCAAAGACTTGGTCACAAAAGGCACATCTCATTTGGTCCAAATGCTGGTCCTCCAGGGTTTCGATGAAGTAATCGTCAATGCCTATTGCTTGGGCACATGTCCACCACATTGGACTGCCAATGACGTTGGGCTGCAGATGCTCATTGCTAGAAACTGTTTCAAAGCCTGAATATCGCCGTTTTCTAGTCCCCTCGGAGGTCAAGAATAAGGACGGTCTCCGCGGGAGACTGTTCGACCCACGCCGTGGGAGGACTTGCGATACGGGTGGAGTGACGAGTTGTTGAAGAGATTCGGCCATGCTTGATACACTGTCGCTCAGTCTAGAGAGTTGACTCCGAGTTTCGTGGTGTTCCAATGTGAGTTGTTCCTTGGTAGCTTGAGAAGCGGACAAGATCATATCTCGAAGATCTTTTTGTCTTCTACTTGTTTCTTCCGTGAAAAGCTGATGGCGATCTATTCTCTGGCGTTCCATCTGTATGTGGGTATCCGTGAGCTTCCTTACATATTCATGGACTGCAGTAATTCTTTCTAATCCTGAGAGAGACATCCATCTGAAACAGGATAGCTTAGCCTCAAAATTTCATTTGCGTACGGCAGATCTAGCTCACCCATTGATAGTGCTCATGTTAAGAACAATCTGCGACCGATGGCGCGCCAACTTAGACTCCATCTCAGAAATCTCCCGGCTTCTCTTGTTTGATATTCCCTCGATTATTTTTTGGCGCTTTGAAGATGGCCCATCTCCGGGTCGGTAAGATTCGGTCCAGGTATTCAGATCTTGAACGCAATCCTCGAGACGGGAAGAGAAAGTGGCAAAGTGCTGGACCCAAAAGACTTGGCTTTCATCCAGCGCCTTTTCGTCCAACGTGTTGAGCAGAGACTTGAAGTCAATTATCGTCTGCGAGAGAAGTTGAGCTTCCAGAGTCAGCCGTTGCGCACGTGCATCTGCTTCCTTCAAGTCCTGGATAAAGGCATTGAGCTTGACAAGCCCATTGAGGACATGGCCAGCGACAGACAGCAGGCCCGCGACGCTGGCGGCTGCGGAAACTACCTCCATGTTGCAAAAGCTGGTGCTTTGTCAAAACTCAGGCATACATAGGTCTTGAAAACCGAAGGACGGCGGGGTTATGAGCGATGGGCCATGGCTGCGGTCAGCAAGATGGTCACCACTGCCACGCACCATACATGTGGCGACTGCAGCACATCTCCTGCGCTACAGTGCTGATCGTCCCAATGAGATAGCATTCGCTCCTTTCCGTGTAATATGGGTGGCTTAGTATGACCGCAGCTTGCATTGATCCTAGGCAATTGACTCAGCCCCCAGTCGTCGCCTCGCAGGTTGCCTTACGGGTTGCGGACGACTTTGGTGCCGTGTTCTCTTCTTTCACATGCTCCGCTGGTATTTCTCCTGAGCGCTGGCTATTCGAGCTCGAATATTCGAATGCTCGCCGTGACGGGTAGTACTGATCTAAGTATGCACTGCCCACGACCGGAGCATGGAAATAAGAGAAGATGTGGAGGGAATCGGCTTGGGTGCGGTTGTTCCTCAACGCAGAATCAAAGAAGTCTCTCGGGCCGAATGCATCGTTTTTTTCGACTCATTCGAACAATTGTGAAGAGAGACTATTGTGAGTTTAGGAAGAAAGATGGGTTCGAGCCTAGATTAGCACAAAGCGCTTCTCAATGATTCCCAAGCTGCCTCGGCAACAACAAGGGACTGCAAGAAAATCGCTGGCAAGGGAGACTTGCGAATGGCTCTCTTCTTTGTCCTCAACGGGAGGGGGGATGGCAGATTATGCTAAACCGCGGAAGACAGAAGACAAGAAATAAATGCAAAGACACATCCACATAAATGAAACAGAGATTGTACAATTTTCGGTAGAAGCTCTCGCAATTCGTCCGGAAACAAGTCTCTGCAAGACGTACCTCATCTCAAGTACAGACAACACTCTCTTCGGATCTTCAAGAGCTGACTTACATCAAGTGAGCCCACTTGGGATCAAAGCTGCTCAAAACTTCTCGAGAAAACTCCTTCACCAAAGAGAATGCCACCAAGGTCAAACAATGGCTCCTCAAGCCGACAGCCACCGGAGCAGCAACAACAGCAGCCACATGACCGTGATTTCGGGCCCGGATGGGACTATACCGTCCCGCGGATCCCGGCTTTGCCAAACAACGGCTTCAACGTGCCTGCCCAGGCGGGACCATCGAATGCGGTGCCTCCTCAGATGGGCCAACAGCAAGCCCAGTCACAGGTGTCGAACATGATGCCGAACCAGAACTTCAACCCGCCGCCGGCGCAGTTCATGGACCCTAACAACCACCAGAATAACAGCCATCGAAACAACAACCAACCGCTCCGCTGGGCCAATCCATACCAGCCCCGAGACCAGGCTCAGCCCCGTCCCGCGGGCCCATCCCAGCCAGCAAAGCGCGGGCGGCCCCGCAAACACCTCGACGAGGAAGACCAAGACGGAGGACAAAGAGCGTCAAAGAGACCCAGACTCCAGCAAACCCCCTGGCAACCGCCCCTCATGCGCATCACGCACTCCCCCCAGGTCGGCCAGCACAACCCCATCGACAATACGTGCGACCACTGCCGCGCCCGCCCCCACGAGAACCAGGGCTGCAACGTCGACCTCGCCAACCAGATTGAGTGCCACCGCTGCACCCGCTACCGCGCCCTCGTCGACCCGAACCACATCTGCAAAGCCCTCGGCCGGGAACACTGGCAGAAGCGCTTCGCCAATTCCCGGCCATCGTACCCGATCACCGAGACGAGCTCGAGCGTCTGCGAGCGGTGCAAGACGCACCAGGGCAGCGGGCGGATCGTGCTGTGCGATATCGACGACCGGGTCAAGATTGGGTGTACGCCGTGTAAGAATGACCAGGCGCTATGTCGGGTGTACGACGAGCAGAAGGTGAGCGGCGAGAAGCCGGACGTGGATCAGCCGGCGGAGGTGATGTGGAACCGGCCTGTGCCCGGAGACGGCACCGTGCCCGCGGGTCGGCGGCCGTGGTGGCGGCAGATGTGTCAGGGGTGTCAGCCCGGCAAGACGAAGCCGTGTTCCTGGATCCGGGACTTCCGGCTGAGGGAGTACAAGTGCACGTCGTGCGTCGAGAAGAACATACCATGCGTGGACCCCTGGACGGCGGCCACATACGATACGCCGTACACGTGGGCCCCCGGGGACGGGGACAAGATTGTCTACGACAAGGGGACCAAGCTCCGAGATGGCAGGCACCGGTGCACCAACTGCGCGACGAACCAAGCCATGTGCCGGTCCCTCACCGACGAGGAAGACTTTGCGTGCGTGCGGTGTACCTCGTGGGGCCTGGTGTGCGAGACGCCCGGGAACGGGAGCCGGCACCCGTCGCGGCAACTGCCTTGGATCGATAAGAAGAGGATCGGGTGGTCTGGATGGACGAAGTGCACTGCCAACGGCAAGGGTATGAAGTTTAGCGGATGCCGGCGGTGTCGTGAGAAGGGGTATAGCTGCGATCGGAAGCGGCCGTGTGATAGGTGCGTGAACGACAGAGCGGGGGCGGACTGCGATTCGTGGGTGATGAACAAGGAATTGGTTAGACGCAACGGAACGGATGGCGTGGAGCAGCCAGAGTATTACATGGCTCTCGGGTACGGCCCCAAGGGTATTGACGATGATCGGACGTTGTGTTTAGAGCAAAATCTCCTCGGGCCAAATAGACCGAGGTACGCGGTTATGACGGACCCTGCTGCTGCTGCGGCTGCCGTTGCAGCTGCCGCCGTCGCTGCCGGTGCCAACCCGGCTAATGCTCCGGGTCCTGGTCCCCTCAAAGTTGGAAATGCTCCCATGGCGGCGCAACAGAGCCCACGTCAGTTCGGAGGTGTCGTCGGCAACGGGCCCGGCGGCTGCGGCGTGGCCCCACTGCCGCGGCCCATGGCGGCGGCCGGACAGCAAGGTTTCGCCGCACCGCCCGACCCAATGGCGTACCACGACCCGGGCTTCCCCTACGGCAACCAAGGCCACATCCGTGACCAACACAACAACATGATGTACGGCGACAACAACGCGGCCGTCGCGGCAAATCAGACGGGCGGAGGGTTCTCCGACTGGGTAAGCGGCTACAACGCAAGCAACAACCAAGCCGGCCCAAACCAAAACGCCCAACTACCTCTGTTCGAAGGCCAGGCGCAGAACCAGGGTGATGTCCAGTACATGATGGGCAATGGGTACGATATAAACCCCGAAAACCTGGTCCAAATGGCAGAGGCACAGCCGGTCCTCATTCACCCACAGCTCGAAGTCGACCCCCAACGCGAACAATCCGATCTCGCCCGCGGAATCTGTGACTTCATGGCCCAACTAGCCCGAGACGGCCGCTTCGTGCCCATCGAGCTCCGCAACTTCCAACCCCCCGAAGTAGCCGAAACCCCCGCCGCCGCCCGCATCGGCCCTCCCGCCCTCGTCATCCTCGAACTCACAGACCAAGACGCGGCCGAAACGCCCCGCGAGCCACCAGGACCGCCAACATGGAACCCGGGCCCCTACGACCCCCAACTCCGCGCCGCTCTCGCACGATGGAAACGCCCGGCCAACGACGTCTTCCACGACATACCCGACGCCTCCCTCCTAAACGGCGCCCAACCAGACAACCAGCCCTGCGAGGAGGTCAAGCCCGGCGCACCGGGTAACATCTGCAACGCCCACGTCCCCGACGGCGCCCACTGCGAAAACCTAGAACACGCCGCCGCGCAGCCTAAACCGCACGTCGTCTGCGAGGTCTGCGACCTGACCTCCAAGAAGCACCTCTTCGAGGGCCCGCAACCCCTGACGCGCATGGAGTTCCTCAACATGCGCAACTACGCCTGCGGCGGCTGCTCCCACACGCGCCAGGCCGACGTGCGGTTCGGCGGCAGGATGCCCTACGGCCAGCTCGCGAACCCGCTGCACCCCGTGACTGGTTGCCTCTGCGCCAGGAAGCTGCTCGGCCGGCGGCTGTGCTCGCATCACCGGTACCAGCTCGCGCAGCGGCTCATGATTCAGGTGTCCATGGTGATCGAGTGGGCGATTACCAACTTTGGACCGGACATGTGTCTGTTTTGTAAGCAGGGTGGCCATCTCGCCAGGAGCATGGCGGAGTCGGAGAACGGGATAATGGATGATGTGTTGTACGTGTGCCTGAATTGTGAGGGCATCGTCTGCGTGAACGGCCCGAAGGAGCTCGTTCCGGGCGTCGAGGAGTGGATTGGCGGGTGTCATCCGGTTTCCCTCTACTCGGAGCCGTGGCTGCAGGCGCCTATGCAGGACATAGAATGGGACGCCTGATTAGGCGAATATGGCCCTGGATGTCTCATGGAAGAAAGCTGGGTACAGTGAAGGAGGAGTACTGGTTGGCGGGATCTTGCTCCGATTTGGCTTTGGATTCGGATAGAAATGCGGTTGGGTCGATACCACGGTAGCGGTGGAGCATACATGGCGCATTACAGGTGTTTCGTTTGATGTAGAGAAGAAGAAAATGTTCGGATTCTGACGTTTCCGCTCCGGGCCGTGAGATGTTGGCCGAGTGAACGTAGAGGCACACCGTTGAGACTTGAGGGATGGCTGCGATGTTTCTGAGCGACTCGCATCTGCATGTCTAAGGTGATGTAAGGTGATAGGAGCCATGGCCCATGGGGCAACAGGGCGGCTCAGGGCCTCGAGCTATGTATTCCGTGGTGGGTTGCAGTCGCGAGGGGGAACTTGTTGAGGGGTGTCATAAGCAAGTTGCATATGCTCCGGGTTGTGATTTTGTGCCCTAATGTAGTGACATGTTAGCGATGAACTAAGATATTGGGAGTTTCTTATTCCATTGGCATCGGAAATTCGGAAGATGGAACGCTTACCGACAGAGATCTGTCTTCTCTTTGTGATCCATCAATCCAAATAACCACATTCAAGCTCACCTGTTTACCGTCACTCGGTTTCTTGAGCAAGCAGACTAGCCTGTTCCTAGATAACCTCGTTTCATCATCAGCCACAACATCTTGAGGTATCACAAGTCGTAAAACGTTGCAGTAGCATCTTGAACAACAACCATGAGTGCGAAAAAACGCTAAGCCTGAGTAGACAAACCCTCACACAACTACAGCTCAACCGTTAAAAATCACATTGAGGGCAGGATATCACATCTCAGATGAACTGACGTAAAGGGAATCTGTATGACTTGGCGACTGACTCTGACCTCAGAAAGACCTTGCGGTGTCTCAGAAGAAAGAAGAAATTACAGTATGAAAAGAAAAAAAGGAGTACCGATATAAAGAAGAGACAGAGACAAGCCGATGTTTGGTCTCAAATAACCCTCCCAGTGTGTGTAGTAAAGAATCTCGAGTCCACCCTCCACAAGGTCTTGCGGCCAACAGTCTCTGGCTGACAGACCAGCCAGTCTGCAACCCATTCTTCTCTGCCGCCGCACCACACGATGAGGATACTGCCAGACAGCCTTGTGAACAGGACTCTCTTCTCTTGTCCCCTGCCACGTACAATCGTGTGCGATGACCATGTCCATGAAGTTGCCCTGAAAAGAACAAGTTCCAAAAAGTGCAGCAAGTCAGAACCCGACTCCCCGTCCGATGCAGCACAAACAAGATTTTGATCATTGGTCCCCCACGTCAACATGTCTTTCTCCAAACGACATTTGCTAGGCCTGCTTGGACCTGTTCAAAAGTCCAGACGGGGAAGAAACCGTGCGCTCAGCAACAACCAGCGGCATCCACCAGCCCAGTCAAGGCTCAAGGTATCTCACGACTCTCTAGCCGCTTGGTCTGCCACAACCCCTCCCTCTTGCTCTCTCGCTCTCTCTCCCCATTGTGCGGGCGCTCTCTCTTTCTCCAGGTCGAAGTCGAAAAAAGACCGCTCACATTATTACGCACTTGGAGCAGCAGCCTGCCTCTTGCTCACCGCCCTCAACGTCCATGGGCTTCGGGGGTCCGTTGATGCCAGAGGCGCCACCGCTGCCGGTAGAGTAGCCCTGCATCTCTCGGTTGTATCGACGGATTTCGCGGACAATATCATAGAAAGCCTTGTCGACGTTGATGCGAGACTTGGCTGATGTCTCGATGAACTTGCATCCGAATGACTTGGCAAGAGCCTCTCCCTCTGTAAGAAACGTATCAGTCATCAATTCAATCGATTAAATCAACCATCAGACAAGAGGCCTATATATTGGAGGCACGATCATGCAGCAATGCGGCGCAGCAAATAATAAAAAAAACATACCTTGTCGTGTGACTTCTCTCTCGCCCTCCAAATCGCACTTATTGCCGACGACAACCATGGGGAAGTAGTCCTTGTCCTTGACTCTCAGAATCTGCTGCTGGAATGTGGTGATTTCTTCGAAGCTCTGGCGCGAGGTGATGGAGTAGACGAGCAGGAATCCCTCTCCCGTTCTCATGTACTGCTCGCGCATGGCGGAGTACTCTTCCTGACCGGCGGTGTCGAGAACATCGAGCAGGGCAACTTCCTCGTCAATAACGCACTGCTTGCGGTAGGAATCTGTAGTTGAGAAGAAGCAGGTTAATTTGAGCGATTGATTCGCGGTTGCATCGACCAGCAGTAGGAAATTTGATTATTATCGAGGCAGCGTACCTTCAATCGTTGGGTCATACTCGTCGACGAAATGGCTCTGGATCAATTGAATGGTCAAGCAAGATTTACCGACACCACCGCCACCGACGACGACCAGCTTGTACTCTCTCAAGAACTGCGAATGAATGACGGGTTAGCAATGCGTTGATGGAAGCGACGGAGACGAGACAAGGATCGAAGAGTGGAACGTCGCGCGACGATGCGAGGACGAGGACGAGGACGAGAGCGAAGGCGAGGGAGACGACGAACCTTGGACGCCATTGTGCTGTGATGATGTGTTGATTGATGGTTGAAATCTCGACAGGTCTTGTTCGCGCGCAATGTTGATGGCTTGAAGCAACTGCTGTTGAGGTGAAGATACGGGCGAGATCCGGGAAACAGTCAGGAGCAGCCGGGCGATTGGCGTCTCGACGGATTCGGAAAGGGCTCAGCGAGGTTGATTTTGGCGAGGTGCGTGAGCGTGAAGGTGGGATTGAAAGGAGTGGTTTGACAGCGAGCGAAACGACGGGTGGAAATCTGGATCTGGTACGGCACAGGCCGGATTGCGAAGTTTAAAGGTGAAACGACGAGGTAGATGGCAGAAATCCGGGACTGACAGCAGACAGTCTTTCGAGAAGGAGAATGAGAGAATGGGCACAAATGGGGTGGTGTTTCGTTGTTGCTAAGGGGGGGCTTTTTGGCAAAATGTGGAGATGGGGGAACGGGTCGGTCCAGTAGTAGGGAAGGAAGGACCTGCCTGCACCTTGCCTCTGCTCCTGCCTCCTGGCGCTGCTGCTGGGTGCTAGGTATGTGTGCTGGGGCAGGTGCGGGTGCGTGTGTGTGCTCCTGCTCTGTTCTCCTGCTAAGGTTCCTACCTAGGTGCTTAGGTAGACAGGAGGAAGGGAAGGTACGGAAGGTAAGGTACGAAGCTGAGGTACTGATTAAGCATACCGGGGTACCTGCTCTTGCAGCTGCTGCACAGCGGAAATCGCTGTACACCCACTCACTCCACACGTTGTATCTTTCCTTACATCGGCCTTCCCTGCCGTCCCTGCCTTCTCGTGTCCACTCCCTCCCAGCTCCCCTTCGCTCTTTCCCGCGCCTTGCCTTTTTTTTTTCCTCTTCCCTCTGGGCTCCTTCCACACTCACCTCCATTCTCCCACTGCCAGACGAGCAGGGCAGGGAAGGTGCTGTATCCGTTCATCCACCTTCGTCCAGAAATGGTACGTAACTTTAGGGCAGACAGTAAAGTGCCTCTTTCATCGCACTGGGGGAGGGGGCATGCCACACACTCTCTCTTCATCTCTCAGTCTCTTTCACACATTGGGACGGAATTAGAGGTGACGGGAGAGGTGAGAGGTGAGTGAGAGAACGAGGTGAAGCCTGGCTTGGGTTGGCCAGGGTGTGGTTGTAAAGATTCCATTCCATCCATCTCAGTCCTAAGCAGTGAGCACGTCTGGTTCCGTCTGCTTTGGTCACTTCGAGGCTCACAGCAAGGTACGGGACACCAGGACTGCTTGCCCATCTTGCCCTCCGCCGGCCTTGTCTCGTGTGCCGTGCCCGGCCAAGTCGACACGGGCGTGCCACCAGGTCTAGCCAGGTCCTTTTTTGCCGTCCGTCACGCACTTGTTCTTCGTCTCTTAGACTCTTTCCAAGTGTACCCCCCCTTCTCATGAGACGAGGGACCCAATGCGCGCGGCTTCTGTCACACCAGGCGCTCTTTCGATGAGATCGCGCGGTCGACCATGCCATGTATCTAAGGTAAGCCAAGACATCTCGATATCTTGTGTCTGGTTCGTCACCCCTCTATTCCGCAGTGGACAAGAACGGTTGGCTGGCACCAGTTTGGCGTTTAGCGCTGGGTCCATGATTTGACGACGACCTGGAAGACTTGGATCGAAGAAGGCACAGGCACACACCCTCACCAACGTCGCTCACACTGCCTCCGTCCGCCCATGCCTTGTGCGAACTTTGAGGTACGCGACATGCGCTACGGATACACGAAGCTCATGTCGGGCCAGGTGGAAGCAGATCGATAACGACGTGGAAGCGCTATTTGCGAGCGAGGCGCCTCCCATTACCAATCACTTGAATGATTCTATGGGGCCCATCTGGAAGGATAGGAGAAGATCAATACAAATCATTTACAAGAACCTGGGGTCGCAATGAGAGTTGATAGTGATACTATTCAATACATGCCTCCATTGGTCGCACTGCGCTGGGTATGGAAACAGCAGCAAAGGTGAACAATCCCATCAGACAAAGGGAATTGACAGAAAAATTAGACGATACCGAGGGCTCGAGTGAAGGTGAGATTTGGCCGGGGATGGGAAAGAGAGACTTGCAAGTGGGAGTTTATCGCGGCGACCTTCTGGTGCAGTAGCGTTGGATGCAGCAGGGGGGTCCCTTGGAACCATAAAAAAGAGGCCTGGTGCAGACGCCTGCAGATGCCCACAAAGCAGCAAAGCGGCCGAGGGTGGGAGGACCATTGATGGAGCGCAAGGGGGGAGAAGACGCGCAGAAACGATGGAATAAATTGGTGAGTGGACCAAAGGGAAAGAAAAAAGAGGGGTGGCGTCGCGCATGGTTCGTGCGAGCGAGAGTGGAACTGTGGGAAGCGAGTGGGAGCGAGATGGGGGGTCCCACCTCAGGCACCAGGAGGAAACGGTACGTACTGCGTATCTATCAGACAGGGGAAAGGAAGGAACAGCTGCAAATGCGAGTGAGTGACCCCCCCAGCGGCAATTCCCAAGTGCTGACAGGGGCAAGAACCAGAGGGAAAGGTGGGGTAGAGATGCACTTAAGCGTCAAGCTCGAAGTTTTCTTTTCCTTATGTAATCTATCAAGATCGCATTCAGGAAATACTTCAGTCACCGTCTCCACGAAAAAAGCTAGATGGGAAACCAGCAGACAAATATCTTTTTGTTATCAGAAATGAGTGCAGTCCAACCTATCCGAGTCAATAAGAGCATGGATTGCTCTGAACGAATGAGGTACGCAATCATCGGTCTCTTCACCGCTCCCGTTGTGGTGCCATGTCGTATTGCCTAATACAATGTCCGGATATAAGCCCCGGTTGTTCGGTCACCCCATCAGAGCAGAAAGCCCGATGTGAGAGGACGTATCGCATCTTGCGGTTCGACAGCTCCACACTTCTGATTACAGTAATAATACGGCGCAGAACACGGCAGGATAGGTTATAGTAGAGTCTACCTCCTTACATACCCGTGTACCATTGTACGCAGTATGGGTTTGGTCCTTCGCGATTAGACTCCTTGTCACCGTTACGCGCTCTGCCTTGCCATATGGCGGGAAGCCTGCTACAGTCTTACCCTCAATAAGATAGGTGAACAGGAAAGAGACCTCATCCAAGAATTGTCAAGATGCTCAAGTCGACTGTGTCCGCGGCTTGCTGCGGCCGATGGTGACGCGTAGGACCAAGACATACACCTAGGTCTTACCAATGCACTCACACATTTCAAGACAATCTACCACTTTGGAACGACCCCTAGCCATGCGTCTGGTGACAAGAAGTTGATGCGTATCCTTCAGTCAATGGTCAACATGGGATGCGTTCAAGTTGTGATGTCTCCGTTCCGTCCCGTCTCGTCGTCATATCTGAAATGAGCTTCAAAGTGAGCTTCCTCGGCGACGAGGCCGTATGTAGTTAAAGAGGGCGAGGCGTGAGTGGTTCCTTCCTTCCAGCGAGCAGAGAGCTTTGACCACGTGGGCTTCCTGATGTTTTACTGTTTGACTCCGCACTGTACGAATTCTTACGACACCAGGCAGGTACGAAGGATGGGAGGATTCGTATGTTGGACGGCAGGTGCAATGCCATGTCTCCAGCCTTGCACCTCTTACACCCTCCGTATTCCGTATCCGCTTGATAGACTCTGCACTTTACACAACCTTACAGAGAGGCCTTCCCTCACTTGACCTGCGTACGATACTGGTTTTGCGGTCTAGAACCCGACTCGGACGGCCTTCTTTGCTGATCCGAGGTTGAATGAGATCCATCGAGCCAGCTGATAATTAGTGGTCAACATCCAGATACGTACATTTATTCCATTTTGTTACGGTTCCCGTTGTCCAACATCACCCGAATATCTGCGAATAACCTCTTTCACTTGCTAGCAGCCAAACCTTACTTAACGCCTTCCAAAAGCCTGCCCATCAAATACAACAACAATTGGTGAGCTGCCTGCAGGCTGCAGTCTCCGACGCCTCACCATGGCCCAGGCGCTGAGCATACGCGACAAAAGCGAAGTCGCCACCTTCTAAACTCTCTCCACTAGGTAATTACAAGTCTGTCTGTTTGCGGCAGCGCCTCGCGCCGACTTGAGCCTCTTCGGGGTCTCCACGTCCACGTGAATCTTCGTCGTATAGCCCGCTCTTGAAAGAACGATCATGTCGCTCCGCACATGTATAGCCTAACAGCCTGATAGCGCTCGATCAATCTCTATGCCAGTTCGTGGCGCAAAGGCTGGCTCAGCTCAACTTGCACACATCCCATTCCAAACTAAACTTCGGCCCGGAGGTCACGGAGAATCCGTGAGAGTTCCCAGCACATGCTCCCTTCCACCGCACCTGTCACCCCAAGATATCCATCAAAGACGCCCTCACCTACGCATGACAGCAGTAAGGGACGACGCGCTGGAATGTAGAATGGCATCTTGGCTGTTCTCACCTGAGCTTACACGACATCGTCTGAAGTTACCAGCCGGCGCTGATCACTTCATACGCATACGGACATGTTGTCGAGATACAGGACCCTGGGAAAACGTGCTGGACACCATGTCACAATCCGGCAATTCTCAACCGACGTTGTGAACCCCTTGCCACCACGATGTACGTATGCCTGCCAGGGGTTGAACGCAGCTATAATCAACGGATACAAAGGCCCACCTCATGCGGCTTTGCTTCAGCAAGCCATTGCAGATCCACGTACAACGGTACACGCGCATTTACCAGGTGCCAGACTACGCAGTACTACTGCAGTTAAACCCTTGCCAACGTAGACCAAGAAAGACGACCACCTCGCGGTAATGGTGACACCCGACAACTCAAACAGGAGCGCGAGGGGAATCACGTTCATCAAAGATCTTTCGTCGAAACAGACCAACAGATCATGATCGTATCTTACGTACTGAGAGGATTTGCGCCACACTTGCAGACATCAGAGCTCAATGAGTCAACTGTCCTAATCAGTATCGTTCAGCCAGCTCGAACAACATGCTCAACTTTACGTCCAATACTTCAGCACGGCACCTCGCAGCAAAGGTTTGTTGAATACGGAACGCCGTCCTCAGTGAAGAAGAGATGAGGGGCCAATGGTTACGATCCACCCACTGTCCAACTTCGTACGGTGCACTTTGGGCAATGAAGCCGTACTGGGGCCAGACTGCAGTCAGCGCTCGATTTGAACCCCTCAAGCTCCCTGTATCAACGGCGCAACTGGGACTACTGCACCCCAGCCTTCAAAGTCGCTAGAGAGGTTCTGTCATTATGACAGAATGGGTCGAGCGTGCATCTGTCCAAAGCATTCTGAAGCTTCTCAATGCCATGGAATCCGACATCGATATAACTAAACTTTAGCCGCAACCACACCCAAAACTACGGACCGAAACGATGTTGCTTCTACCTACATCCCTTGCATCCCGGGTTTGAGCCAAGACGCCTAGCCCTGACATCTGAACTTTGGCTTACTTGCTTCTGCCATAACTCAACGCCTTGACTTGACTCCTCCTCTAGTCAGACAACCGCCAGGCACGTTGCGTGGCCCACGTCAGATCTCACGAGTCTTGACCATGCAACGCACAGAGAGCGACCAGTCCACGGCATACTCCTTGATGATCGAGAGACAGAGAATCCTTCCCTGGCAGTGCTTGGTAGGCTGTAGCGACTGGTGGCTCTGGCGCGAGGCAGCTTTGATTCGTTGACCGGTAACGCTTCAAGGCCATAGCGCATGAGTAGTCGCGGTATTCGCACCGGCCCAAACTCATACTGGCTCTTGCGCCGCCCGAGCTTGCATGGCCCGACCAGCAACTTGGCAAGACAGCGCCGATCATCTTTCCACAAACACAACCGTCAACTTGGTTGATCTCTGGCGACATTGCGCTCAGATCGCTTTTTCTTCGTCCCTCCGCGTGTTTCCATGCCTTCAAGTGGAGGCAGCTGGGGTGTTCTCGGGCCATGTTTCTCTGCATCTTTGGATTCTGGCTTTCTGAAGTC